TGCAGGGGGACTCAAGAACTTCGCATACCCATTGACAGTCTTATTTAGGCATAGTGGGTTGCTGGTTGCTTATTGTGCATCATAGCAGCAAAAGGTTGGCAGATCCACACCATACCTCAGTGTTCCGCTCCTTATTAGCTTGCTTTCCCTTCCTACTTTCCTTTCCTCCCTTGTGTGTTTTGAAATCTGCTTGGGGAGGGCTCCAGGAGACGCACAACACACACACAGTGCACATTTAAAGCATGTGAAATCCTGGGAAGTGTAGTTTGTTAAGCGTGCTGGTTAATTGTAGCTCTGTGAAGGGAAAACTACAGTTCCCATGCCTCCTGTTTTAATCTCCTCTACCTCTCTCTCTAAAGGGATGCTGTGGGTTAAACCACAGAACCTAGGACTTGCCGATCAGAAGGTTGGCGGTTTGAATCCCCACGATGCAGTGGATGTTAGGATATTTCCGTTCCACCTTAAAAGGGAGCAGGCTTTGTGAGTCAGAGTCTGCGTATTTCCTGTTCACAGGATGTTTATGTTTTCTGTTGCTTTCGTTTTCTCTCTCTGTGTCATAGACACTAAAGCAGGCAGTCACGTTTTTCTGTGTTCTGATCAACGCTGAATAAACTTGTAAATAATGCTCTCCTGAGTGCAACTTTTGGCTGTGCATTATCTGCTGATAGAGTGTGCATGAGCTGTGGAATGTGGCAAGATATTTTCTAGAAACTCATGTCGCTAATTGCTGATACTGCGTGCCTACGGGAGGTCGATGGATCGTCCGGCAGACGGCTTGGGGGCCTTGATGGACTTTATCCCCCTGGCAGTATCCCAACAGTGAGCTCCCGTTGCTCAGTCCCTGCTCCTGCCAACCTAGCAGTTCGAAAGCATGTCAAAGTGCAAGTAGATAAATAGATACCGCTCTGGCAGGAAGGTAAGCGGTGTTTCTGTGTGCTGCTCTGGTTCGCCAGAAGCGGCTTAGTCATGCTGGCCACATGACCCGGAAGCTGTATGCCGGCTCCCTCGGCCAATAAAGCGAGTTGAGCGCCACAACCCGTCGGTCACGACTGGACCCTAATGGTCAGGGGTCCCTTTACCTTTACCTCTCTCTCTACCTGGAGCTAGGGGAAGAATCCTGCAACCCTCCTGGCTCTAATGAGCTCTGTTTGAGTGCAGATCCATCTCCCTTACCCTTGTGTACAGTGGTACCTTGGTTCTCGAACTTCATCCGTTCCGGGAGTCCATTCGACTCCTGAAAGTTCGAAAACCAAGGCGCGGCTTCCAATTGGCTGCAGGAGCTTCCTGCACTCAATTGGAAGCCTTGCCGGATGTTTGGCTTCCGAAAAACGTCCATAAACAGGAACACTCCCAGGTTTGCGGCGTTCAGGAGCCAAGCCATTCCGAGAACCAAGGTACCACTGTATCTTGGATACGCATTCCTTGTAGCTGCTCCTTAGGTTCCCATGCACTGAAAGGACTTTGTAGGGAAGACTGAATAAGTTTCAACTCATTCCCATTCCTTTCTTCTTGCTTGCCACTTGCCTTCCTCGCTGCCAGCTTCCCTCCCCATCATCCTCAGCACTGCCCGGTCTTCCTGTTGCAACTTGTCTGGGTTGAGTTCCAAAGCAGGCTTGGAAGCTGCCATCTCCAATTCCAGGCACAGACAGCCCTGGAGCAGAAACGGGAGGGTTGGCGGTCCCTGCTCCACATGCGCAAATATGTATGTTTTTTTAAATTTAAGTTTCTGGCCTGTTTGGTGCAGGGTAGATCAGTTTTGAAAGGGAAAACCAGCAATGTACGTCAGGAAGGGAGAGGACCATCTCTGGGAGGTGTTGATCTATGGTGCAACCACATTTGGAATAAGATTGCGTACCGTTCTGTTCGCCTCACCTCCAAAAGGATATTGAAGAGCTGGAAAAGTTTCAGAAAAGAGCGACGAAAAGGATAAAAGTGATGGATCTACATTAAAACCTCCCACCCAAGAAAAAAGGCCATATGCAGATAAAAGCCAAAGGCCTGATTTAAAAGAAATGTTTTTGTCTGGCACCTAAGATATGCAATGATGGTGCCAGGCGAGCGTCCTCTGGGACAGCATTCTATAAGCAAGGAGGCACCATTGGAAAGGCCTGTTCTTGTGTTGCCGCAGATCTTTGGAGACAAGGAAAAAAAAGAGCTAAACCAAATATGCTGAGCATAAAGGTCAGAAACAGAGCCCAGTCATTTGTTGCCAGTTGAAGTTAAAGGTAGGTCATATATGAAAAAGTTGAAGACCACCACCATATTGCCCCTGTAACCATTGGGTAGGGGAGAAGAGGGGCCACCCGTGGACACTTTATTAAATCCAGAGTTACCATTTTCATGGACTATCCAGAGCTGTTTTCACAACTTGTGCCTCAAGGGAAAAAATTAATCCAGAGAATTTATCCACAGCAAATCATTGCCTGTTGACTCCCTGCATGATATGGTGACCTTGTGACAACTCTGGCTTTTCCCATTAGCTTTCACTCATGGTGAGCCTCCTGCCCTGACATTCTTCAGGTGCAAATAGGCCATTCAGTTACTCCCACTGGAGATGCACCACGGTCACTCAGGAGGGTAACCGGTGCATCTCTGTGTGAAAAACACTGCTCTAGGTTTTCCTCCTTCCAAGGATTTGCTTGTAGAGTGTGTAACTGCGATGTATAACTGTGGAGAACAGTATAATCAGCTAACAGGTTTTGGGGAAAAACCACAAAAAACATTTGCTAGAAATTTCACAGTGATGTGGTTTTTCACAGAAAAATCTCCATCTCCTAAGCTCATTAGTAACGATAAATGGGTGTCAACTGCCAATAAAGTATCAGGAAATTTCAAAGATTTTAGCTTTGTTTACTAAATACACGTAAATAAGCATGCTAAATTAGATCACTCTCTAGGGCGTTGGAAAATGTTCTAATGCAAGCTGAACACTTTCTGATGCAAATTACCTGTATCTGCATAGGAAAATGTTCCTAATGGAAAGTCACCTTGCTTTAACCCGCCCCCTTCCTGCTCCTGAAACATCCCCCCCAATAAAAAAGGCATGCATGAAAGAAAAAATACAAGAAAATAAAATTACTCCGAAGTTCAACAGACCATTTCTTTCAGTACCCCTGCCATGAGTCTTCACTCCTGAAAAGATGTTCCTGCTGAATAACTTGGGGAGCTTCACAAAAGCTAGTGGAGAAGTTATTTCCACAGGAGCGCCATGTATAAATTGGAAGCTTTTACTTTGGGAAAATGCAGACACACCTAGCCATTAAAACAACAGACCAACAACTCCCATTATCTTGAATCACAGAATAACGCCTCCTCCCTCCGTGCTTAATATTGCATTAGCACATCTTCAACGTACGTGCCGCTCAACCAGAAGGTGCCTTAACGTGCCAGAGGTAGAAACGGAGAGGTATTAAGGACACATCCATGCCTAGGGAATAGCAGCCGCGTTGCAGCCAGGCGGAAAGAGAGAAATGACCAGAACGGGATCCTTCCTCAAGCTGTCGTGACACCACTGAAAGCGCCTCATCAAAACGCACAGGAGAAGCTGCTCTGCGGCCCTGGGAGAATGGAAAGCGTGTCCATGAGAGCACAAAGGCAAATGTTCTCTCATCTGATGTGCATTTCAGTGACTGAGCCCTCACAGCTGGTGTCCTCAGCACCAAGGCCAGCTCCTTGGCCAGCGAGGAACAGGAGATAAGGCGCAAACTAAGAGAGAAGATGCTGAGGGAAGCCCCATGGCATAAAACACCCCGCCAGAGTCGGGAACTCTTTTCCTTCCATCTGCACAGACTCCATGTGTGATTATATGGGTATAAGGGGGAGAAAAGCCACCTGCTCCAAGGTCCCCCGGGCAGCCTAAAAAAGGAGCAGCAGCTAGGAATCGCTTGCATCAATTGTTAGGAAGGCGAGAAGCTGCCTTTTGCCAAGTCAAACCATCGATCCATCAAGCTTGGCACTGTGCTGAGAGGCGTTGGTTTCTGCAGGCTTTGAGGCATGGGCCTCTCCCCGCCCTACCTGAAGAAGATGAGGATCCAAGCAGATGCTCTACTTGGGCTGCAAGGGTAAAGACAGCAGAGGGAAGCACAGCAAGGAGGAAGGAAGAAACCCTTAGCTTGGCTTTACCTGCAGTGCAGAATACAACCTGCAGCAAGCTGTCCCCCAACTGGATCCTGAAAATGTCCACAGCTTACATTTAAAGGGACCTGGTGCTTCTGTTTGTCCAGGGATGGAATTTTAGGTAGCTCTTCTCAGTTGGCATTTATTGGGACCCAAATCCTTTACCTTCTAATCAAAATGTTCTTCTTGCTTCCACTTGGGTGACAACCTCTGTCCAAATCCAACTAGGTCTCTCTACCTCCACTGCACCACACCCTGACTTTGTGACTCATATATATATTTGTGTTTCAGCAGCTTCCTTTCCAAGCAATCAAGCCTTCCAAGTATCAAGGGGCTGCTGGTACGTATTGAAGGCTAAACTGAAGCCTTCACATTCAGAGATGCTATAATTCCCCTGATTGTCACCTCTGTCGCGCCCTGGCTTGCATCTGTGGCATCTGGCTGTCTGCTCTGGGAGACAGATTGCTGGGCCAAACCATACCTTTGGTCAAATTCAGCAAGGCAATTCTTAAAAACTGTCCCACCTAGTGGACATGATGCAAAATTACAGCCTCTGACCAAAAAAGGTCTGATAGATAGGGGATCTCTCACTCTCATATCCATCCACCAATAGAATTGTAGAGTTGGAAAGGACCACATGGGTCATCTAGTTCAGCCCCCTGCAATGCAGGAGTCTTTTGCCCAGTATGGGACTGGAAGCCACGACCCTGAAATTAAGAGTCCCATGGTCTACAGACTCCCACTAACAAAGGGACACATTCCAGAGGGGAAATTCCTCACCAGGCTAGAATTATCCTTAACGGGGAAGTCCTGCCTGGGAAGAAGAAACACTTCGCACTATCCTCTAGACTTGTCATAACTTTTTACTCTGCTACTGCTGCAACTTTTAAATGACAGATAATGCTTTAGATGGAAGGTGCGGAACCTTTGGCTCTCCGCAAGTTGCCGGACTACAACTCCCAGAAGGTCCAGCCACCATGGCCTCTAGGAAATGGCATCCAGCATTATCAGGAAGGCAACAGGTTAGCTATTCCTGCTTTAGTTAATTAGTGGGGGACAACTGTATGTGGTGGCACCAAGATTTAATTGCACAGGTTGTTTATTTAGTGTATTTCAGTGATCTCGTGTTACTACAACAGCAAATGAAAGCAGAAAACGGTACAGAGACTCCTTTCTTTCAACAACGACCAGCAGTTTCTGCTTATTAAATTTTTGTCAAAGCACCTTACAGTGAGGATTACATGAAAACTTTAGGGCTTGTCTGCTTTAAAAACCGTTATCAGGGGATTAATTGTGTTAAGTTTCAGTCAAACAATTAAATCTGCATAGATTTCCATATAAATAAAGAACACTTTGAAGAAAGGGTTATTTCCCTTTTCAGATAACGAAGTAACATGTTGCAACAGGCACAATATTCGAAACAGCCACCTTGTTAAATTGCTTCAAGATGTTTTATGGGAAGCGATTCATAAATGGAATGAAATAAATTCCCTCCTGTGAGAGAGAGAAAGAGGGAAGAATGCCTGTTTTAAGAAGGCATTAAGTATTAATATAACAAATAATGAACATTGCAGGTGATTAGAAATTAACCCACTGGCAGCCTTACGCTGCACCCAGCTCTATTCAAAACCACCGTAATACAAAAGAACACACTTCAAAAAACCATGAGCGCTTTGATTCCTGTTTAATTTTCATACGAAATAACAAAATGCTCCTGCAGCCATGGGGAAGAATCCAGTTAGCAAGAAACCAAATAAAAGCAGCTGTCAGGGGTCACAAGGGGAATATGTGTGGGTGATAGGGGAGCAACAGCAAACAGTGAGAGAAGCTCCCACAGCGAAGAGGGAAACCCAGTCAAGAGGTATTTACAAGTCAGACTGAACCCCAGCAGGGAAGCTATTCCCTGGAGCACTCTATGAAACAAACAAAACCATTTAGCATTCAAGGGGCTCAGCCGGGGGGGGGGGGGGCTGTGGTTGGGCATTCTCAAGTCTGGAGGGGTTGCTTGTGTCATTAAAAAAAATAAAAGCCACGTTCCACACAACTGAGTGGGAAAGAACCCAACCCCAAAGGAAATGGGAGGGTCAGAGCCCACGGTGGCATCAAGTGCACAAGCCAACCCCAATGCCGTCCTGGTGTTTGTGCAGACGGGGAGGAAATGGGAGCCCAGTTCACCTTCAAAACCGGAGAAGTCAAGATGATGCAGCCATGTTGCAGAAATGGCCAAAACCTGGACAGCAGAGGGAGCATGGATAAAAAAGCTAGGGAGCAGAAGTTGTTGCAGCTACACTAGAGCCCCAGCAAGGGGGAGCCAGAGAGCAGCAGCTCCCGGTCCACAGAGCGTGGCCAGCTGCATCTCCTTGCTCCCCCCAGCCCAACTCAAACTCCCCCTATCTGGACATTCTCCACCTGGATGTTCTCGAAGTGAACCCCGGCATCTGTAGGGTAGATTTCAATGGTCTCCACCACGGGGATGGTCTCCATAATGGTAACAGTGTTGCCATAGACCTGGTCGCTAGGCGTGGACGAGGCCGACGGCGTTGCGGCTGCAGCAGCGGCCGCGGCCGCAGCAGCGGCGACAGCCTCTGCCATGGCCTCTTGCTCGTTCTGCAGCCGCTGCTGCTGATGCATCTTGCGGTGCTTCCAGAGGTTGGAGAAGGAGCGGTAAGCCTTGTTGCAAGCGTCGCAGTGGTACGGGCGTTCCCCTGTGTGGATGCGCTTGTGCTCGGCCAGCCGCACGGCGATGGTGAAGGCCTTCCCGCACTCGTCGCATTTGAAGGGCTTCTCGCCGGTATGCAGCCGCCGGTGATCTTTCAGGTGCGTGGACTGCCGGAAGGCCTTGCCGCAATCCGGGCACGGGTAGGGGCGCTCGCCTGTGTGGATGCGGCGGTGGACCTGCAGCGACGTCTCGGTGCTGAACAGTTTCTTGCAGTCACCGCACTCGAAAACCTTGGGGCCGGTGGGGCGGCGTGGCCGGGGCGGGGGCGGCTCCAAAGCGGGGGGCTCTTCCTCCGCCCCTTCGGGAACTTGGATGTCCCCGTGCAGCCGCTCGTGGGCTCTCAACTGCGCCGTCGAGCCAACCTTCTTGCCGCAGACGGAGCACTCAAAGTGGCGGCTCATCTTGCCGCACTTGTGCTCCTTCAGCTGCTCGGCCGTGACGAAGGCGGCGCCGCAGCCAGACGTGCAGCGGTGGGGCTGCTGCCCCGTGTGACTCAGCTGGTGGACCTCCAGGAGACGGCGGAGCAGGAAGGAGCGGCCACAGGTCTGGCACTTGTAGGGGTATTCACCCGTGTGGTGGTAGCGGTGCATGAGCAGGCGGTAGGGGCGGTGGAAGACGCTGTTGCACTCCTGGCACTTGTAGGGGTAGTGGCGCTTGTGCACCAGGAGGTGCTGCTGCAGGGTGGACGACTGCGTGAAGCACTTCTGGCAGATCTCGCAGCGGTAAGGGCGCTCGCCCGTGTGCGTCAGGCGGTGGCGCTGCAGGTTGGCCTGCGAGTTGAAGCTCTTGCCGCACTCCTTGCAGTGGTACGGCCTCTCGCCGGTGTGCGTCAGGAGGTGGTTGCGCATGTGCGACTTCTTCTTGAACATCTTGCCGCAAGTCAGACACTTGTGGCGGCGCTCCATGTTGTGGACAAAGCGCTGGTGGCGCAGCAGCAGCGTCAACTTGGGAAAGGTCTTGTTGCACAGCAGGCACTGGAACTCCGAGGGCTTTTGCTCCTGTACGTTGCTTTCGGCTGGGGCAGAGGTCTTGTCCACCGAGCAGATGATGGCCAGTGGAAACACCTCTTGTTCTTGCTGTTGCTGTGGTTGCTGTTGTTGTTCCTGCTGCTGCTGCTGAGGAGGAGGTGGTTGTGGAGGTGGTGGTGGCGGCTGCTCCAAGGCTTCAGGTGGCTCCTCCTCAGGAGGCTGTTCCTCAGGAGGAGATGCAGGCAACTCGTGGGTCTGCGCTGAATTGGCACTGTGGGAACGTCGGTGGTAAAGGAACTTGGTCATGTTGATGAAGGTCTTCCCGCAAGCGCAGCGGTAGAGGGGGTTGGAGGAGTGCGTGCGCCGGTGAGACAAGAGCACCGCCTCCGTGCCGAAGCCCAGGCCGCAGTCCATGCACAGAAAGCGCGACTCGCCGCTGTGCTCCTCCCGGTGCTTCTCAAGGGCGGCTGGGGACGGCAGCACCTTGCTGCAGAGCGGGCACTTGAAGGCGCCCTGCCGGTGGCTCCTCATGTGAAGCTGGAGCTTGTGGGCCGAAGGAAAGGGCTGGTCACACTCAGCACACATGTGCTCCTTGGCGGCCTGCTTCGCTTTCCGGGGAAGCTGCTCCCCGGGGTTGTTTTTTAGCTCATAGCTGTGATCCGTGGCCGTGACACTGGTGGGGGCTGGCGGCGGCACAGCCCCGTTGTGCACAGCCACTAAACTGGGAGGTGGGGGCGGCGGTGGAGGCAGTGCCTTCGGTTCCGTGGGGCAGGATGCAGGCAGCTCCCTCGCTCGTGTCCCTGGGGAGGCTTGGATCACTTGGTGTGTGGTCTGGTGCTCCAGCAAGTCTGCCGTCGACTGAAACAGCTGGAAACACTCGCCACATTCATACAGCAGCAGTTGCACAGTGTCTACCCCGTCCTGCGGCTTGCGGTACGAGTGCTCCAGGTTGACCAGTGCCCGGCTCTGAGGAGGGGGAGCCGGTGGCTCGGGTGGCTTCCGGTGGGTCTGCCGGTGAGCAAGCCACACATCCTGGCTGGTGAAGAGGGCCTTGCATTCTGTGCACTCATAATGGATCTGGCTGGAGCTCAGCAGTTTCACCAAGGGTTCCGGCTCCTGGATCACCATCTTGAGATGCATCTCCTGGTGTTCCAGCAACTGACTCGGAGACAGGAGGATTTGCCCGCACTCCAGACATTGGTACTGGCTTTCCTGCACAGTCACAGTCTGGTAGAGGCCGGCCTCACCACCTGCCACCAGCCCGGCTTCTGCCAGCCCCACCACTTGATACTGCTGCTCCTGGGAGCACAGGTGGCTCTGCTGATGTACCAGGGCTTCCTCCAAGGAGTTGAACTGCTGGCTGCACTCCGAGCAGACAAAGCGATGCTCCACATATAGCAGTGTCTCCTCGGTTGACTCTGCCATCGTGAAAGCCTGCTGGGGTGTATAAGAAAGAGAAAGGAAAAATTAGGGAGCCCAACTAGGGTTACAACTTTTGGGTGATTAATCTGGATCGCTGACTGAAAAATACTTTGATCAGTGCCTGCAAATTTTTTAAAAAATAAAACAGAACGCCGATTCTGAGGTGCTGTTTACTGTGATACATTAATTAATTAATTAATTAATAATAATATTCCTTATCCACCCTTCACCATAAGGTTCCAGGACAGGTTACAATATAAAAATACAAAATTAAAATCAGATAAAGTATGCAGACATCTAAATGCAAAGAAAAATGCTATTTATTAATTCAACCAATTAATCAAATTACAACCCTGGTATAAAATACATCCTTTGATGAAACAGGTAAGATATGGGTCTTTCACAGGTTCCCACAGCAAGGAGCAGGAATTGCAAGAACTAAATGTATAAGCGCCACAGCCCAATACAGGCCTACCTAGAAGGATGCCACATTGAGTTCAACGACACTTACTCCTAGATAAGAGTGTATAAGATTGCAGCATCCATCAGTACGTCAGTCAACTACTGCTTTTTTAGACTACCGTATTTTTCGCTCCATAAGACGCACTTTTTTCCTCCTAAAAAGTAAGGGGAAATGTTGAGTGCATCTTCTGGAGCGAATGGCGCTGCGCAAAGAGGGAGAGCTGCGCAGTGCCCCTTCAGCGAAGCGGGAGAAGGAACGGATCCCCTTCTGTTGCTCCTCCCACTTCGCTGAAGGGGCGCTGCGCAGCTCTCGCTCTCTGTACAGCGCCTCTCCTGGCTTCTGCCTTAGCCGCACACAGCCTCTTCTGGGCAGGAGGAGCCTTCATCCTGCTGCCCTGAAGAGGCTTAGCGGGGCTATCCCAGAAGCCAGAACAGCCAGAGGCTATCGCAGAAGCCAGATCCCTCTTGCTGTTCTGGCTTCTGGGATTCAGAATATTTTTTTTCTTGTTTTCCACCTCCAAAATCTAGGTGCGCCTTATGGTCTGGTGTGTCTTATAGAGCGAAAAATATGGTATTTATTCAGCTGAGGGCAAAAACCTTAATTGGTGGGGCTGAGAGTTAAGCAGACTTGCGTTACCCTGCAGGTTTTCATGCATTACTACAACAGGGAATGGAAAAACAAAACATTAAAGACCCTCTTCCCTTGTAACAATTAAGTTATTTCACAAAAACACCTATACTGAAGTTGTGGCAGTAAATCACACAGGGATTTACGCAGTTTAGTCCAGTGTTGCCTACTCTCTGGCAGTGGTTTTCCAGGACCTCAGGCAGGGATCACTGTCATCATCTGCTACCTGAACCTTTTAAATGGAGATGCCAGGTTTTGAGCCGATGACCTTCTGTGTGCCATGCACGTGCTCTACCACTGAGCTATAGCCCTTCTGCTGTACAATTGCCAGATACTATGGACAGATTTCAAAGTGGCTTAAACATGTAGCATAAACACATATTTACATCTTTGTTAGTGTGGTTTTGCAACAAATATTCTCATTTCTTTCAGTACGAAGCAGAAGTAAAGGCACTCCTCCTTGTCCTGTGTCCTGATTTCAGTGCTGTTTTGTTAGCACACAGTATCATTGTTTCTTTTTGCCCAATTCTAGAGTCCAACAGCAGTGAGTGGACTGATGTGGCAGAGCAATCCCAACTATAGAGAACTGGTGAAATTTATGCTGGCACATGTTACCCCATTTCCAAACTCCATTCAGGAGCCTCTGGCAAGGGGAGGGAGGGAGGAGACTAAGTGCTGGCCAAGCCAGAAGCTGGGTGGGCGCCTAAGTTTTGAGGATTGGGACCTAGGACACACAACCAAGCTGAATGGGGTTTGAAACAGGTGTAAGTCTCTCCTTCTTTCACTCCATCCACTTCCTCAAAACCCCTTTTGGGGGACTACACTGGTCTGCCAGCTGAGCTGGGGATGAAATACTTCTACTGTTAGATCTTTGGCTCAGTCAGAATGAGGGACTTAAGCTGGTACAGCCCTAGCTGAACCAGAAAAGTCCAAGATCTGCCAAATCCAAACTCCTATCAGCAGTTCCGGGATTTGGATTGCACTGTAAATCACAGAGTTCTGTGATTTCATGATTTTAAATTGCCATGGAAAAGGCTGAATATAAATAAATGATTTTAATCACATCTAAGAGCAGGATCCAAACAATCACTATGGCTTCTGCATGGGAGGATAGGTGGATTGGAAACCGGTTAAAAAAAGAAGTAAGCAATAGGAGGATTGTTTTCAAAACAGATGGAAACAAGTATTGGGGTATCCCATGAGCTCCTGTTTCATTAGACACCTGGAGCTGGGGTAAACAATGAGACAGCTAAGTTTGAGGACAGAATTGGGCATCTGACTGGTCAGAAAGGATCAACTCAATTTTGGACAAATGTTGTCAAATAATGATTAACTATTTGTAAAATAGTAGGCTTATTTAAGCAAGAAATATTTTTGATCACCAACAGACTTGATACTTACACTTATTACAAAAAACCCAAAGAACCATGGAATGACCAAATTAACTAAAGTCAAACTGCTATGTTAGCGACACCTAAGTGATCACCCCAAGGCGCAAGCCTATGTATGGAGCTCCTGGGCTGCCCAGATGACAAGACCCCCCTCAGCCTCAGTGATGTGGTCCAAAGGAAAGCAGAGTGATACATTTGGCACCAGCTTGGCTGCTGGAGTTGTTAGGAGGCAGCCTACAAGGTACCATCCAACTGCCTTGGGGACTCCAGTCCAGATTTGTGTAGGGTTTACTCCTTAGCTTCCTCTTCTCCCAAAGACAGCCCGCAAAGCAGCAGAAGTTTAGGATCAGAGTTTTCATTCTCCTAGATGGGCTACCTTTCCAGGTTGATGAGCCCCATCTGCCTCTCACTCCCCTCTACAGCACCTGCAGAAACCACCTTGACTGTAGGACTCACTATTGGTCTTGTCTGCTCAATCTGTGGGAGCCTGTCTTTGCATGCAGGGGAAGTCGCTAACTCACAGAGGGTTTGAGATCCACCTGCCACCCTCACCTGGTTTAGCTGGCCAATTGAAGCCATTCCCTGAGGTGTGGCTGCTGTCACAGGCTGACAGCTTCTAGGAGCCACAACCTGTCCCCCCACCAGAGGTACTACCCTTCCCCTAACACCCCTATGTTAAGTAATGTTTTTCTAACTGTGAATGTTTAGTAAACAGACTTTTAAAATAATTTATCCTGAAACACCAGGGTCAGCCAATAGTTACAATTAAAATCAAGAAATAAAAGTAAAGGTAATTATTTAAACACACACACAACTCAATTGTGCTAAGTCGAAAGTAGGTCAATTTTCAATCATTTAGGAAGAGCTTTGCTAGGTCCAACCAAAGGCCCATCTAGTCTAGCACTCTGTATCCCCATGGTGGCTCATCTGACTAGGTCAGCTGACAATATTGGTTAGGATTATAGCCCATTAACTACCCAAAAATCTCAAGCTCGCTTATTATGCCTTTAAAGAGAAAGGAAACATTTAATTGGAATATTATTAGTCTGTCATAGGGCAGGGCTTCCTCTGCCAGGTTCTCGCGGCTGCTGATGTTTCTTGCAGATCTTGGCAGCAGATGTAAGAGCCACTGACATGCAAATGTCCTCCAGTGTACAGCAGCCTTCCCTAGTTCTCAGCAGTTCCAACTGCCACATTGCAGCTGAATTTCTGGTGCACTGCATGTTTCAGAGAAAATAACCAGTCAATGGATCTGTATGCAAACGCTATTTGAGGAGGACACTACATTATTAAGGATGGGGATCCAAAAGGATCTCTCCTTAATGGATGAACAGGCAACAAAGACAAACAATATTTGATTTAAGTGCAAAATGATGCACGGGCGAGGGGAAAGCATAGCTTTGAATACTGTGGATATTTCAAAAGTAGTTGTGATCTAGTATGGGAGTCACTTCAGAGAAAATAAGTCAACAATATTACTAGGACGGTCCATATAATCTGCAGATTTTTAAGCTGTTCTTTAGATCCCAGTCAGGAATGTCCAACACATTCCAGAAGCAAGGCTATTACTAGTCACAATCATGTTTTTCCATGAGATGGAATGTAAATGTCTGTGTAGCATACTGGCAGTGTAATAAATATTCATCATTTTTCTCAGTGACCTATTACCACCTTTATAAGTCTTGACCTGAGAACAGATTAACATAAACATGTCTTTTACATAGAAAATGAGGTTTTATCTCAATGTGTTTGATAGGAGACCACTAGTCCAGTTGTATAAGATTATAATATATACATGTTATCTGCACTTAATTACTGTAAGTTGCCATATTAAACAATCTTATTTCAAAGGGGGGGGAAGACTCTTAAAAAACACCAATTTAAATTCATCTTTGAAAAAACGAAAATCTGATTTTTACCCCACCAGCTGTTTCTGAGGCTTGAGCTGTATTTCACCTGGCTTCAGGGTGCATCTCCCACATACCTTCGAGGTCTAAAGCCACGGACCAGCCCCAGAAGGGCCTGTGGCTCTAGAAAGACCCCAGAAGGGCCTGTGGCTCTAGAAAGACGTCCAATCTTGCCTGCTCCAGCACACACCAAGACTGAGAAAGCCGGTCCCCTGAAAACTTGAGTTCAAAAGAAGACTGTAAATAAGTAGACAGCAAGCAAAGGTGCAGATCAGCCCCTCATCCCCAGACCCCTGAGTGATTTGACATCCAACCCCTCATCAGGGGACTGCACCCTTCCCTTCAGTTTTTTGTTTGCTTACACAGGAGAGGATCAGAGCCTCCAGTTCACACTTTCTTCCAATCCTGCCCTTGACAGCAGCTCTCACTCCTCTTTCTCTCCACCTCACTTCGGAAAAGAGGAACCCCCTCCTCTCTCTCTCTGCCCACCCCGCCCCCCATCAGCAACAAAGAGCCTTATGATACCTTGGCAAGACTAGCGCATTAACCGCAGCACGATTTCACGGGCCACAACCTACTTCCTCAGGTAGTTCTCCAGGTCTCCCTGTGCATCTGGGACTCCCCTTCGCCCATCCTCCTCTGCACATGGGCGCCTGCCCCGCTTCTCCTCCGCCCCAGCCCCCTTCACAGAGGTCTGTGCATGGGGGCTCCCCTTCCCCACCACCACCACCCCCATTTTCACGGGGGGTGGGGTCAAATCCACCAGGCACTCGCCCTCTTTGCATGGGGCGTGCTGGGCTCCCCTCCCCCACCCTTGCGGGAGGGGCCACTTCCCCTCCCTCCCCCACAACCCTGCAAAGTGGGGGGGGGGCGGTGGCTCCGCTCTGGGCTTCCTTACCTTCCCCACCCCCACCCCACCCCCCGTCCCGCCTTGGGCTCCCCCCTGCACTAGGGGCGCTCTCCCCGAGTCCCCCTCCTCCCCTCACCTTTTCCTCCCTTCTGTCCCCCACAGCCCAGCCTTCTCTCTCACCCTCCTCCCAGAACAAACCGCCTGCCGATTGGGTCGCGGCGGGCGGCCAATCAGCAGGCCGCTTGCTCAAGCCCGCGCCCAATCGGGGCCGTCCTTCCTACCCGACGCGCGAGCCCTTGCCCGAACCCGTCGGGATCCGTATAGGCGATCTGACACTGACGTCATTCGGAGGCCGAAGCGAGGCTGCGCCTGGCGCGTCGAGGAAGTGGGCGGGGCTGGAAGGGAAAGAGAGGGAACCCGCTGGCCGGGAAGGAGAGAGAGAGAATGGGGGGAAATGGCAGTTGGGTTGTACCAAAAAAGCAGCGGAGGAGGGGGGTGTCTGAGAAGACCCGAAACGTCTAAACGGCGGTTTACAAGGAGAAGTAAACCGATATTTATGAACGTAGAAGCAGTTGTTTTGCTTTTTTTTAATGACGTTTATATATTGCCCTTTTTTTTTTGCCAAGGCACCCTTCCTCCTCGCTTCTGCTCCCCTAACAAGGGAACATGGACCCTTCTCAAGCTGCCCCTAGGAAAAGCTCTCAGACCGTTGATGGTTCTCTCGGGTGCCGAGGGTCACGTGCTTCCTGGCCTGGGTTTCCTGCGGAGTACTTGTAAAGCGCCCTCTCAAGGGCGGAGAAACCTGCGGCCGCCAGATCGAGGTCCCTGCGTTGCTGGACTACAACTCCCATGAGCCATTGGGCCATTGCTTGCAAGCCCTGATGGGAGTTGGAGTCCACCTGTGAATAACGCTAGGTCTTCTCAGTCGCTTGGATTCCTGAAGCACAGTTCCATGCTTGCCAGTGCCGGATTTACGTATAAGCTAAACAAGCTATAGCTTAGGGTCTCACTCTCTTGGGGCCTCCCAAAAAATTTAAAGGAAAAAAACACTTCATGTACATTTCCAAAATATAAGTTAAAAAACAAATAACACCTACACACGGTGTTATGTACTGAAGTTCTCACCCTGGGCCAGCAGGGTTACTGTAGATAGTTTTCACTCAGGTCCACATGTGCAAATAAGGAATTGAAAGTGACGTTCAGTGATTGGATAGTTACAGAAAGTTGTTACTGTTGCGTTGTAGTGGAGCTCTATATAAGCAGGTTGGCTGAACCCTTCAGTTCAGTTCTGTTCTGGCCTGTGAATAAACAAGCTGTCTAAAAAATCGCTGTGTCGTCTGATATGTTCACCCACAACTTAACACACAGCAATGGTGTTTTGTGTTGCGTAGGCTCCTATGATGTAGCTAATGGTTCCCGCCTGCTAGCCTGCTCCCTAAAATATCACTGGTTTGTTCATTTCTATATATAGGGTGCCTACATTATGGTGCTGGAGGAGACTCTTGAGAGTCCCATGGACTGCAAGAAGATCAAACGTATCCATTCTTAAGGAAATCAGCCCTGAGTGTTCACTGGAAGGACAGATCCTGAAGCTGAGGCTCCAATACTTTGGCCGCCTCAGGAGAAGAGAAGACTCCCTGGAAAAGACCCTGATGTTGGGAAAGATGAAGGGCACAAGGAGAAGGGGACGACAGGGGACAAGATGGTTGGACAGTGTTCTCGAAGCTACCAGCATGAGTTTGACCAAACTGCGGGAGGCAGTAGAAGACAGAAGTGCCTGGTGTGCTCTGGTCCATGGGGTCACAAAGAGTCGGACACGACTAAACGACTAAACAACAACATTTCTGCATGGACTGGTTGCATGGCAACATGTGCAAATTGCTTTAGATACCGATTAGGTCCATAAATTACCATATAGCATGTATTCAACACAAAAAACAGTGGCAATTTGTTGCTGACAAAGGACAGCTGGACATACAAAGGGCCCCATTACCTTCAGTAGCTTAGGGTCTCATCAAACCTAAATCCAGCCCTGATGCTTCCTGTCGCCCAACCACCCTGTGTGCGGGCTCTCAAGGGTCATCTAGTCCAACCCCCTGTAATGAAGCCACACTGACAAGTTACATCACATTTGCAATGCAGGACCCCCACCCCCAAAGAATTCTGGGTATTGGAGTTTATTAAAGTTGCTGGGAGTTGTAGCTTGTGGGGGGAGAACTACAGTTCCCAAGAGTCTTTGGGGGAAGCCATGACTGTTCAGGGATATGACTATTGTTAGTGTTAGATTGTTCATGTACACTCCAATTTATTCTGCATCTTGAGTTCTTCCGCTGCTGGTTTGGGAAGCGGTGTGCACATAGCTTTAGCCACAATCCGTGTGTGCGTGTGTAGCATATATATAGAAAGGAGAAATCATTGGATGCCAAGATCCAAATTTCGCTCAAGTACATACTTCTTTGGTGAGAGAACCGCAGCAGAATCATAGAATTGTAGGATTGTAAGTGATCCCAGGCGTCATCTAGTCCAACCCCCTGCAATGCAGGAATCTTTTTGCCTATGGTGTGGTTTGAACCCACCACCCTGAGATTAGGAGTCTCATGCTCTACTGGTTGAGCTATTGAGCTATGCTAAAGGCACAAAATATGTAACAAAGTAAAGGGACGCGGGTGGCGCTGTGGGTTAAACCACAGAGCCTAGGACTTGCCGATCAGAAGGTCAGCGGTTCGAATCCCCGAGACGGGGTGAGCTCCCGTTGCTCAGTCCCTGCTCCTGCCAACCTAGCAGTTCAAAAGCATGTCAAAGTGCAAGTAGATAAATAGGTACCGCTCCAGCGGGAAGGTAAACGGTGTTTCCGTGTGCTGCTCTGGTTCACCAGAAGCGGTCTAGTCATGCTGGTCACATGACCTGGAAGCTGTACGCCGGCTCCCTCGGCCAACAAAGCGAGATGAGTGCCGCAACCCCAGAGTTGGTCACGACTGGACCTAATGGTCAGGGGTCCCTTTACCTTTACCTTTAAAATGTGCAAACATAAGCTGTTAGATCTTTAAACTATGCCCCTTCAAGCGAGTTCCAAAATTTCCCCTTTTCCCCCACATAGGAAAAAACCACGTTTGATAAGTTAAAAATTGGTTTACTTACAAACTCTTCAAAGGTCTGGTTCATGCTCTTTTCCATATATCAATAAGAAAAACTGGCAGCAAAACCTAGCTTAATTACTAAGTGGTAAAAGTTCTTAGACTACAGTATTGGTATAGGAACTCAAGAGTGGCTGGTGAAAGCCATGTGGTTGAGCTGGAGGACACTGAGCTTCTCAGATAAATGGGGAGCAAACAAGGGCTTGATTACCTATTTCCTCCCAAGGTAAAGGGAAGTGACATAGCTACGCCTGGCAGGACAGCATACTCTATGGTATTAATTCCTTCATGTATTAATTAGACTTAAGCATGTTGGTTATATGAGGCTGGGCTGTGTTTTAAGCTGTTAGTGTGCGCACAGCCTTTTCTCCCTCTTGGAAACTCAAATCACCACTCAACTGCTGGGCAAGTCACTGTCTTGTTCGACTGATGAACAGAATTGTCAAGAGGCTTCAGCGTACAGTTGCGAGAATTAAACAAAGCAGGCCAGTTCCAGATTGAATTAACCACATTTTACTAGTTAAATGTTTGCATGCTTCAAAGCTATTTATTCTTAAAATGGTACTAAAACTGGCAAAAAGTATACATAGCATTGTTCTATAATTTTGTTTCTCCTGGTGTTTGAAATGCATCAGGTATTGATAAAAATGCAGGAGTCTGCTGGTGTAAAGTACAACTTAATTTATTTGAATAGCACTAGACTGCAGAAAACATAGATAATTGCATATCTGGCTAAAAGAGCATGCTATTTATGTAGAATTATACTGAGAGCTATTAATTCAGAAATGGAGCTTGCCATGCTTGAATTTGGAATGGAGGAAATCCCATAACATTTTCAAAAATTATGAAATATCTGGTACCACCACTACCTCGCAGCGCCCAAGCAGAACAAAAGACCAGATGAGTCTTTCTTTGGTGAGTTTTGTCTGCTGGTAATAGAATGGGCATAACCCTTGAATTCTTATCATTCCCTTTATCATTAGTTTATTGGGCCAACTAACATTCAAACTGCTGAAAGGGTGACAGCAAGCATTGATTGTGTGGTTCGTCACATACATAAGCACATTTATACCACTATAAAAGGTGTTGCTTTCCCCAAAGAACCCTAGCCGTTATAGTTTAGCCCCTGCAGAGCTACAATTCCAGGCACATTTAGCAAACTAGTTTCCAGAATTCTTTGGGAGAAGCCATGTGGCTGTTTCTTTCCGCCTGCTTGCCCAAGTGTAAAGAACGAATACAGGGCCTGCTGTTAAAAAATAAAATCTCGCTGGCCCCAAAGCCTAGCATCTCCATGGCAAGGAAGCTGTCAAATCAGTGGGGCCAACCCAATACATCTGCTACCTTAGATGAAGGACACAATAGCACCCCCTATTTGTCTGCAGAAGCCAACCAGACCAGCTGAATCTTACTTCAAACTAGTGATGGGGACATTATCCTCCACCCACCTGAGAACAACAGGTCAGTTTAGGAAAACCAGGCCAAATGCACAGCACACACAGCTCTGTTCAACCTCTACTGTTGGAGACAGTATGTCTCTAAACACCAGTTGCTGGGAATCATAAGTGACGAGAATCCTGTTGTACACAGGTCCTGCTTTTGGGCTTCCACTTAGAACAGGATCTGGATGCTGGAATAGACAGGCCCTAGGCCCTTGGCCCTTGGCCTGTTCCAGAAAACTCCTCTTATCTTCTCCAGCACCTAAGTGCTCTTCCCTGCCTTTCACAAGCTGCCACCTGAGGCAGCAATCTCAATCTACCTAATATTAGGGCCAGCCCTGCAAGTCATTTAGTAGTCACGTCTACCAGATGAGTCTTTCTTTGGTGAGTTTTGTCTGCTGGTAATAGAATGGGCGTAACCCTTGAATTCTTATCATTCCCTCAGATCTCAAACACTGTATGTGATTTTGCTGGTGGATCACAGGAACGAGAGGTAGTTACTCCAATAAGTCTCGCTCAAGTCACCTAGCCAGCCTGGTATTTTTGCCTGTTGTGAAATCAGATGCCGCCTTTCAAAAGCTCTCATGTTCCTGGCTCAAATGGCACTTTCCGCAACAGCAATGCAGTTTTGCTCTCTTGCCCCAAGCAAGGACACCATGCCCTCCAGAATGCTGTTTCAGGAATTTATGCAACAAGGCCGTTTCTGAGATGAGATCACCATTTTGAGATCAAATAGTGGGCAGGGGGCGGGGGCTCCATCCACATCCATCTGTCCCAGTGAGTGTGGAGCCGTGACTGATGTAAAACCCAAAATACTGGAAATAAATATCTCCGTTCCGATCACTTCAGTCATGAAGAACTTTGAAAAACTTCAGTCTGTGAAGGAAACCCAAGTTTCTTGGGAGATTCGAGAGGACACAAATATATTATGTCTCTACCTCTCTTTCAAATCAGAACCAATGAAGGCGGTGAAGGTCCTGTGTGACTGCCTGGAGGCGGTTGGAGGATGGATGGCGGCTAATGGATTGAGGTTGAATCCTGACAAGACAGAAGTACTGTTCTTGGGGGACAGGAGGCGGGCTGGTGTGGAGGACTCCTTGATCCTGAATGGGGTAACTGTGCCCCTGAAGGACCAGGTGCGCAGCCTGGGAGTCATTTTGGACTCACAGCTGTCCATGGAGGCGCAGGTCAATTCTGTATCCAGGGCAACTGTCTACCAGCTCCACCTGGTATGCAGGCTGCCTGCAGACTGTCTCGCCAGAGTGGTGCATGCTCTAGTTATCCCCCGCTTGGACTACTGTAATGTGCTCTATGTGGGGCTACCTTTGAAGGTGACCCGGAAACTACAACTAATCCAGAATGGACTTGATTTGTTTACAAGAAACACATATAACAAGGCTACACAGGAAACTACTGATTAATAAAAGATTGGGACAGGAGTTTATCTCATCTGACAAAGTTAAAAAAAGAGTTGTGATATATGCAAAGGAGAGACTATCACCGAAATTAATTTTTAAAGATGACCAAGGAAGATTCTTGGCAATTGAAATTCAAGTTCAAGGAGAGAAATTCTTGATAGTAGGAATTTATGCACCGAATGAGGGGAAATCTGAATTCTTTAAAAAGTTGCACGAGACTTTACTGGGCTATTTGGATTACAATTTGATTTTGATGGGGGATATGAATGGAGTAGTATCTACAAACATGGATAAGGCACAAAGACAGATAGTTACCAAGGATGGTAGACTACCGAAAACATTTTTTGAGATGACAGACAATATAGACTTAGTGGATATCTGGAGCGTAAAGAACTCCTTGGGAAGAGAGGGAACCTTCTTTTCTGAAGCCAAGATGACATGGACTAGAATTGACCAAATATGGATAACTAGAGGAATGGCACCAAAGATAAAGAAAGTAGAAATCTGCCCAAAAACCTGCTCCGACCATAATGCTGTAAGGATGGAGATGAAACAAATATCAACCGGATCCTTCAGATGGAGGATGAATGACACCTTATTTAGAGATGAAGAAGTATATAAAAGGCCCAAAAACTTTGAGAGACTATTTTGAAATAAATATGAACACCAATGTAGAAAAAGAGTAATCTGGGACGCAAGCAAAGCGGTCATGAGAGGGTTTCTGATACAACAGAATGCAATAAAGAAGAGAAGTCAGAATGAGAAGAAAGATAAAATTTTGGAGAAAATAAAAGAAAGTGAGAAGAAATTGAGAGCAAAAACAAAGTCGCAGGAGATTCTGAGAGAAATAAAATTATATCAAGTACAATACATGAAAATGATGAATCAGGAAATAGAATGGAAAATTAAACAAATGAGACAAAAACATTTGAATCAGCTAATAAATGTGGGAAATTGTTGGCCTGGCAAATGAAAAAAGACAAAAATTAAATACTATTACAAACTTAGAAGTGGAAGGAAAGAATATACACAACCCAATTAAGATTAGAAACTGTTTCCAGAGGTACTTTAAACAATTATACACGCAAGGGCCACAGAAAGAAATGGACATAGACCGATTCTTGAAGAGAAATGGATTACAAAAAATCTCTCAAGAAAGTAAATTAATGCTGAACTATAAAATATCTGAACAGGAAGTGGAAGGTGCCATTCAAAACATGCAATTGGGCAAATCTCCAGGACCGGTTGGGCTGACTTCTAGATATTATAGATCCTTGAAAGAGTGGCTATTGCAACCTTTGAAGGAAGTCTGCAATGAAATTTTGGAAGGGAAAAGGGCACCAGAGTCGTGGAAAGAGGTGTACATTACACTTATACCTAAAACAGAGACTGAAAAGACCCAGCTTAAGAACTACCGCCCTATATCGTTACTTAATGTGGATTATAAAATTTTTGCAGACATTTTGGCCAAGAGATTGAAAAAAGTATTGATGGAAGAGAGTCATAAAGACCAAGCGGGCTTTCTCCCGGGAAGACACTTGTCTGACAATTTGAGGAATATAATTGATATTTTGGAAAAACTAGAAGTGAATATTAACACTAAAGCAGTTCTGATATTTGTGGATGCGGAGAAAG